GTTATAACCGATATCTAATCAATGAATCTAATCAATCAGTCACGCGCTGGACAAGAATTTCCTCATCAGATCTAATCAGATCTTTTCATCTCATCTCTACAACTAATTTCAGGCAACAGAGCTGATCTCCTCGCTCTTCTCCACCAGCAGCAACGTGATCTTGGACAGTTCAGAGGCCCAGTAAACGTCAGAAATATGAATGAAGTGGCATTCCCGTTACGTTTTCACAATCTTAAAACTTCACGAAACCGAGGATCGTCGCGAGCTTCAAAGGATGCATCGATCCTAGTAATGCATGCTGTTGGTGCAGCTAAACGAAATTTACAAAATTCAGAAACCCGGAGCTGTGGATCTTATATGGAACGCAAGAAAACACGAATCATCCATCCGACGGACGGCCAACTAATTCTATTCTATATGGGGAAATAATTTTGCCTTTACAGACCAATCATCACAAGAGAAACTCTCTCAACAAAAGAGCTAAGTCAGAAGTGTCCTAAGTTTCACTATACCCTTACAGTGTGATCTGGAAGCACCGGCATCTTGACACTAATCACATTTCAGACCTGTCAAGATGTGATGAGTGATTGTTTTCGGACGACCAATCTTCTTCATCTTTTGGAGTTGGAGGCTTTAGCCTGGCCCTCTTCTCCATCCGATTCCACTCTCTATCAAGTTCAAATCAACCCGATTATGCTTTTATTTTCAAGATGTAACTCAGCATAAGTCGAAACAAAAACCTAGATCCACGATGCTTTCAGACATTAGGTGATTGTTACGGCTTCCAATTTGCCACTTTTGAGATCGTATGTGGATTCGAAAGTGTTCTCGGCGAATTGTTCTCGTGCATACAGATTTTCGCGAAATATAGCGATATCATCAATGACAGACTGTTTGAGATTCGATAGTGATTAGCTTGAAAAGTGAGCTCAAGAGAAGACTTCCAACTTGTCAATTGCACCGAACATCATATCATTAATTTCATGATGACGCTTAGCTGGCACACAAGCTCTGAGAGAGTCATGAATGTCCTTATGGGTTAAGTGGGTAGTTCCACTGTCTGGAATTTAGTTGATTGAATCGTGTTTCAGATCAGCGAGAAAGACGAACCTGTGTGGTGTATCACCATACTTTCGTCAAAATGTTGAAAAGCATCTAGTGCAATGATATCCTTTAAGGCTGGCTCGATGTGGCCTCCAGCACTTCTTATAACCCCAACCCCGTCTACAGAAGATTAGATCAGTGTCTTGAATTTAATTGAATGATCATGAGTATACCTTCAAGTTGAATATTTAAGAGCCTTTCTGGCACAAGACATGGGTCCAAGCAAGTCAATAATGTTTCTATCAACATGTGAAAAGAAACAGAGGTCCTCAATTTATGATTTACCAATAATAACTCATGTTAGATTTTTTCCTATAGCCCCAAGTTTGGCTAAACTAGGGATATGCATTTTAATAATGTCTCTAAGACAGTGTCAATCGATGAGCGAGATAGCCGCAAGATTGGTGATGCTCACGAATCGACCAAAGTTGCAATGTCCATCGCAAAGCATATTCTGATTGTGTTATGGAAATTGGGCTATTTCTCTGAAGACGGTATTATGAGAAAGTGCTCGTGCTTGTGATTTCTTTGAGAGTGATCATGCAGTATTTACGAATTCTTAAATGAAGATTGAATCCTAGCATTTTGCGGAATGTCCATCTATCTTTAAAATTTACAGGCTCGAACATATCATATTTCGTGCCAGTTAGCATGAACCAGCATCATCAAAATTTCTCTTTTCAGTGAACTTTTTTTCCCGGTTTATAACAAGGCAATGCTAAATGATCAAGTTGGGGATATTGATATTCTTCCAAGTCTTGCACATCCTAGAGATGGAATTCAGGGCTACCGTTCGTATACACAGCTTTCATATATTTTCCAATGCGACAAAAAGCGATGATTAATCTGTTTTCGGGCTTCCAATTTCTAATTTTACTGGAATATAAGATTACATCCGTAAATTCACAAACCATTCACGATTACCACGCATGTACGAGAACATTCCACCACTCCGTATACGTAAATGACGTCTCTGGATCCAGTCTCAATAAGTTATCTTACCAATCAATTGTTAAGGGATGGTTCTGCACTGGAGTCCGGCATTGTAATAATTGAGTGTTAATCTTGCATTTTGTCATCACGACGATTCAATAGGATCTGATCTTTGAAGTTTCTTATGTACTTGTACATCTTCATTCTAATCAGTAGCCTCTCCTGAAGATGCTAAAACCAATCCCAAGTAGGTACCTGCCTTGTCGTCGTTTACGTCAATCTCGTTGGTTATAAAGTAATCCCTCTGATCTTTTATTTACAGTGACAATTCTTATACCCCTGAGATATGCCACTTGGTTTCTATATGGAGCATTATTTGTTTAATTTACTCATAAATTCAACCTCCTATACTTTTTTCTGCTCGGATCAGAAGGTTCTGGGTCATTGGTATTTACCGCAGATCCAAAGACCATATAGCAAGTTCCATTTACATATATGCACATATCATTGACGAGCGCTCTTTGCCTTAAACCTCCATTATTCATTTATTCATCTTCCTGAAATGCTAAGTATCACACAATTTTCATGACCGCAAATGAACTGCTTCAGGCTCTAGGTGCGATCCAAGTGCAAGTATTCTGATGCAAGTCAAGTCGCATTACATACGCATTTTCTCGCAGTAATATAAGCATCAATATTAGCTCCCTAACCTAGACGACGTGAGTCTACAGATATAGCCACTATGGATAACCTGTATTGGTTTCTGAAAAAACAAAAGCCTTTGCAGTCTTTCTATTCTCGATATGATTATTTAACATCAATTGATGTTAAAAACATCTTCTAAAACTTGATCAGCACGTCGAGGAAAGAATGATAATGTATTGTTCGAGTTACTAAGAAGACCAGCCACCTTTCCAGCATGCTGTGCATCATCAGCTGGAGGGACACAACCGGACCGGAGATCGGAAATCAAGCTAAGAACGATTGAGATGGTAGTACACTGATCTGATTTCCTGTATGAGGATTCTACGCTTTACCCCTTCCACACTGTTATTTGTGCTGTTTTCGAATTGTCTTCCTGGGCTTTAGACATGCTATGAAATTGCCCATAATTTTGCAAAGTGGGTGTAAGCGATGCGGTTCAAGCAAGATACTCTTTTGTGTACTAGGTGTTCGAGTACATAAACTCAAGGGAGTAGATTCCCAAAAGGCAGTGAAATATCGAGATTGGGTGTGTCATTGCTCTATATCTCTTGCAATCAGAAACTCACAAAATTAGACTTTTATCGTTACACCAGTATTCCGTTCACCATCCAATCCATAGCGAGACGAACTATCCATCTGCGTTTCCCCAATGGTTTTGAAGGGCTCATTTCAATGACAATCGATCTCTGATCTTCTAGATATCGAAGAATGTATTTCGTCGCCAGTTCTTGACTAAGTCCTGCGCATCAGACATATGATTTAAATGTACCTCAACATCATATTTCGATCCCTCACTATCAAGTACGTAGGCTTCCCCTTTGCCCAAAAACTGCATGTAAGTCCGCCTTCCTTAACCAAAATAGAGCTCCGAGAAAGGTATCCCAATCAATGCGTATCCATAATTGAAACTATGTAACGCAGAAAGTCATGCGGAAAGTATCGTTTTCTTGATACCCTGATATCGAAATTCCACGTTTTTGGAACAGAATGTCATACGATAGGAACGAGCTATATCATGATATGTCCTCGAAATATCAATGCAGTTGTTACCCCTTCGATATTTTCGCCAAATAATCCCCTCTCCTCCCTCCCAACTCCCTACATCCCTACGCATTACCCCCCAACCACCCCTTCTCCCCACACCCTTTCCTTCCAACTCGACATCCGCCGCACAGGCGACTAAATCCCAAACCCTCCAGCAAAACAACACAGATCCACAACTCCACTGACGCTGTACCACCTATTGCATTACACAAACCGCAAGTCTCCACGACGGATTACGAACGCGCGCTGTCGATATGTAGTTCATACCCCACAAGACCCGAATATCTCGACGCGTTCATTAAAAGACGCGAAATATTCTTCCTTAAAAGAGAAGGTGCAGTGATGAAATAAGATGGCGGTTTTGTTTGACTCTCTGCGGCCGGATTCTTGAGGTGGAGATGGAGATTAAGGGTTTCAAGGTGGATTTGGGGAGCCGGATAGAAAGAAGTGATTTCGGGGGTTGAGGAATAGAGTTTAATGCAAGTGTATGAGTTTCGGGATGAAAATGTGGATTCTTCTAGGTTGGACAGGAAATTTCGATATCAGTAAGAATGAAGGTAAGGAGTAGTGATATATTTGATACAGGCGACCCCTTCGACCTCCTCCCCTGAAGATAAAGTGTTCCGAATCCATATATATCTCCCTACCATGATTTCCCTTTGCGAAGAATTTACCCAGCTTGCCATTCTCGAATATGTGAGAATCGCATATATTTCACGAACAGGAAACGCAAAGGGCTGTAAATCTCGAAATGTGATGTTTATTTCCTGATGTATATGCGGGTAGTTTAGATTCCATTTTCTCTTTACTATCCGGGCAAAATAATCACCGATCCAAGCTCCTTCTAACTATCTAGTACACTATCCCATAGCACAATCAAATCTATAAAAACATAACTTTCATTCCCATTCCTCTACCCGATATCGTCCGATACAATCCGCTAAAACTCCTAGGTATCTATCTAAATTTCAAAAGTCCTCCTCCAAGTTTCCGAATCCCAATGGTATCTGTCCTCCCAAATTCTTTTCAAAAGATGCCAGTTGGCCCCTGCTGTGATTGCTATAAAGCTTTTATACCAATCCATACCTCCCAATCCAAGACGATAGTCTACGTGAACAAGTCCTATAACCAAAACCCAAAAATAATAAAAACACCACTTCTTCTACTCTGTTCATCTCCGACATGACCCTCCCCCCCCCCCTTCCCTTGGTCCTTCTCTCAATTCCTCTATCGCCAATCTAACCTTGTAGGTTGGCATCTATTTATTTGATAAAAAGCATGCAAAATTCAGGGCTTGCAGATTTTCATAATGTAATTCAAAGAGACAGACTGGTACTGTCGACTCTGAGACACTGATTCCTGGCACTGGCATAAAGAAAGGATCCTTGTGGCTAGCTCCCTGGCTCCTTAAATCTGGGTTACGTATGCATGACTGGCTCCATGACTCTCCATTCTGTCGAATTTTGTGATGTCCTAGGATTTCCTGACGGGGTTGTCTGAGCGGCCTGGGTCCGCTTTATTGTTATCCTTGCGGGAAGAATACCATTGTGGAGATTAACTCGACTTAGGTGACTAACGAAGAAATGTTAATTAAAATGTCCCATGGAAGTAGATAGAAATATAAGATTACTTACACTAATTCTCAATGTTTTAAAGTGAACAATTCACTCAACTCATGGATCCATGGCTGAAGGTGCGGCTCATGGCTGGAGATGCCTGATTAATCTTTTGAAGAGTCTGTGCCATCATCTTGATGCAGTCACTGGCGTTTCTCAAGTTGGTCATTCCGTTTGCACTCTTGGGGTCGTGCAATTGTTTCACAGCCTCCTGGAGTCGCTGCTCACTTTGGTGGTAGATTTCAATCAAGGATGGTTGTTGGTTAATAACTGGAGACTTGACTCTCTTGACTGGTTCCTTATCCGAGGTACTTGGTTCCGTGATGGCATCCTGCTTACGCTTCTTGGAGCCAGTGGCTGACTTCTCAGTAGGTGGTGGGGAACCACCGGCACTCCTGGATGTGCATGGGTCATTGTGTACGCGCTTCATGTGGTCATAAAGATTCCAGCGACGGGGAAAGCCATTGCCAGTGACGCCGCGCTCGCATCCGTCATACTTGCAAAGGAAGGGCTTATCTCCATGTCCGTGCATGGCGTGGGCTTCTCTCTCGTGGCGGAGTAAGCATGCTGTGGAGGAGAATTTGTTGTCTGCACATGCAGCGATCTTGCAACGGTATGGCTTCAAGTGAGAGTCGACGAATTTGCTATAGCGTAAAATGATTAGCTTGTTGTACGGGCTTAAACGGGGTACATGAATCCTACTCGTAGTTGCACTTAAGCTTTTCTGGCTTGTGTTGGCATGATGCGTTTCCTTCCCATGGGCAGTGGTATAATCCATCGGATTGAGTCGTCACATTATGGTACAAATGATGATCACGTGCTGAGTTATCAGCATCGAGACTGGAACGGCCCATCAACTTGAAGGACTCCTCTGTCTCAGTTCCAAGAACACGTCTGGAGTTCGTGTCACTAGCTACTTTGGAAGCTCTGGGTCCCATTGGCTTCCTTATAGTCCTGTCGCCGATCTTGTAAGGAGGTGAATCCACGAAATCTGGAAGGCCTTGAACATACCTTGGTGATCGGCCTTCGGTTGGGGAGTAGTCCAATGGGCTATTTGTCGAAGACATCATTTGTGGTGGCAGAGCCCAGGAATCCTCGGCAATAGGTGTGTGTGGTTTAGAAGATTCAAGCAAAGCAGTCTCCCACATATCTGGAGATCCTAAGACAGGGCTTTCGAAGAAAACTGAATCTTGTGCGCTGTGAACATAACTGGAAATAGAGCTTGGAGCTGCTGTCATACTTGTAGGTAATCCATGGTTATTGGAAAACATGTCAAATCCTCCTGTTGTCAACGACAAGGTTGGTGGCTGCTGGAATCCACTGGTAACTGGTACTTGGTAATCATTTCCGGCTGACTCATCTCCTCCTGGGTACTGGAAATTGTCGAATGCAGATTGAAAATCAAATTGTGCTGTTGGAGTATACAGAAGAGTGTTGGCTGGACTAGCTGATCTACCTGTAACATCTGATCTTGCAGATGTCATTTGATATTGTGCCTGAGAGGCATTGGGCAAGTAAGCCATTGGCATAGACTCAGTTGTTGATGTTGACTGAGTTGTCCTTGATGAATCCTTGGATGGAAAGCGGGTCATTTCCTCTGACTCGAGGCCCGAAGTCAAATCGGCGGGCCACCGTTGACTTGCCATATGAGCCACTGGGATATAAAGAGAAGAATCAGAAAATCCATTGGGTCCTTGGGAAGTAGATTCACGAGGTGAGTACTGTAAACCCTCACTTTTTCCGTTCCAGGATAATCCACTGTATTGTCCCTTGGTAGGTTCTGTATGACGCAAAGAAAATCCAGTTGTTCCTTGGAATGGGGTTCTTGAGTGAAAACCGCTACACAAGATCTAGGTTAGTATGATGTACATATACAGATGGAACAGTTACAATTGCAGCAAAACAGAAACACAAAAAAAGAAATATAAAGCAAAACAACAGCATCCAGCGAAGTACCTGCAGCAAGACGTTAGTTGTGAAAATCTCACATATAAAGGGGGGAAATCTACAGACCAGGAGGAGTTTGGCATCATGAGTGTAGTCGAGTGGGTGTAGATGACGGTGATGAGAATCCAGGGAGAGTGATTGAAGCATCCAGGGCAATAAATATAAACAAATGAGAAAAGGTGGTATGTCCTCGGAGTCCTTGGCATCCTTGAGTTGGCCTTGCTTGGTACGTTGTTGTGTCCATGTGATGTTCTGATGAATGTAAATCCTTCTGCTCAACGAAAACAACGTACTGTTAGTGGATACTCGATTGTGTTTAAAGGGGGTTGTTGTCAGACTTGTAGTCAACGTTGAGTAGGTTACGTACTCAGTGGCATAATTGATGCCTGATGCTTGATAGAGCACGATGACTGGCTGGAGTAGCCAGTCACTTCCATAACGGTTCCTTGGAGTGTCGTTTCAGGAATAGATTCCATGTGCGGCAATTAAAAAAGGAAAATTAATCCACGGTGTCCATTGTGGTAAACACTGTTGAAACCGACATGCTATAAAGTTGCTGTGGGAGTCCCATGCATGGAAGCTGCATATAGAGACCACTGATCGCATGGCAGATGGATGTTTGTCGCCATGTTGTCCTGTAGCACATAGTTTGGCCCTGGAAGCTGAGTGCGAGTTCTTGTTGATAAACTGATAGGTGTTACGATGCGCTCGCAGGATATGCGAGCCCACATCTTGGAACTTCGGCGGATAGATCTCTGGCTTGGGGTATATAAACGGCTGACAGGTTACCATGAAAGAAATCAGGTGTTTTGGGTCCATTGGAAATTCGGCTCCTTCCGGTATATATAAAGAGAAATTGCAGTCTGAGGTCCATTTGAAGTCGGTATACTCACCAGAGACCGGAGGTCTTTTGATTAACAGTTCATATTTTTGATTCTCAGAGTGCCCTTGAAACCTCCGAAGAGGTAAAGCATGCTCTCGTCGTGTGGGTACACGGTAAGACCTTCGAAAATCCTATGGGTTCCTGGGAAGCTCGGGAAAGCTGGAAATGTGCCTGGTAAAGTCCTTGGAAAGTCCGGTATCATTGGAGATGTTGTGTTGCGAAACAAAAAGTACATGATTTTTCTGGGAACATAAAACATCCGGGATTCTAGCAGTAAAACCAAACGCAAACTCAACGCAAAGCAAAAACACGCAAAATAGAAAAAAACAATATACCTGGCGGATGCCTTCCTGGAATGTGATTGTGTGTCGAAGCCTGCCATGGTTTCCGGGAGAAGGGTTAAGGTCTCCGTGCAAGTCATTTGGGATCCTTTTTGAAGCAACGGCAGTGTGCTTTGTCGAATCTGTTGAGAAACTATGTGTTGAAAGTACTACTCTTATGGCCACGGCCTTGTGGTATGAGCAGGAAAAGATAACTGATGTTGGTGATGAGAACAGTCCGGCTGGATGATCTCTGTTGGGTATGTTTGCAATGGAAGAGAAAGCAGAAACAAGTTGGGCAGCTTTTCGGGGGAAGATCCGCAATATACAAGAACTGGAGTAGGGGGGTGGTGAATGTATGGACCTGAGTGACAGAGAAAGAGGCTGACTGAGACGTGAGCAAGGTAAAGGATGAATGAGAATGGAAAGAAAAGAAGAGTTCGTCCAAGGTGGGGAGGTTGGGCACTTATGCTTTTCAATGGTAACCAAAATGAGGAGACAAGGTCAGAAACGCACGAAGCGAACAAAAACCAAGGATATTTGACATTAATGAAATGTGTGAAAGAACCAGGGTGCTTGATTTGTCGACGAGGATACTCCTGCCATGTGAGACATTGATGCGTTGTCTCTTTTCAAAAATTGCTTGCCTCGTTTGAATTAGCCACCACTTGATATCACTGGTTGGATGAGGGCAACGGGTCACCCTTTCACGACTCACAAGAGAATTATACCTTGTTCTTTGGATATTCAAATAGAATTCTGCCCTGCAATCAATCCTGGCATTTATTCTATTGATCTCGAAATAAATATGGACCAGTTGTATGATTGACTTCATGACCCCTCTCTCGACTAGGTTTTGTGTGGATGGAATGAACGGAGACTGCAGTCGATTGACTATACGATACGCATTTAGCCTAAGGACGAGATGAAGTCACGACCAAACTTCAAAGTAACTTTCCGTACTTGCTCAAGGATACCTAGAGAATGGGATGACGACGTCGAGCTATCTCCTGTTAGAGGAATGTTGAAATGTGATGAATTCCAGGAAACGTGCATTGCATAATTACCTTGGTACCGAGAACGGTGGTATTCAAGTACCTTTTTTAACTTTTTACAAATGAAATATCAGGAAACCAAGCCACATTCAGTAAAAATGAAGCTATTAGCAGGATTGCAATCCTTATCACGGAAGGGAAAGGAATCCACTTCCCGTTCAATTTCTCTCAAACTCTCCAACTTCCCGAAGAGATTATGCAGATTCAGGGTTATGAAGCCATCAACCCTCATCCATTCGACCAGAATTCAAGCTGAGAAAGAGTTGTGTATCACAATAATCAAACGGTACGGAGTCGATCTCCAATAATAGGTCCATGTCTCCCCTCCCCAGCCTTATCAAATGTTGGAAGCGATTATCAAGCATCAGAAATAAGAAGGTCACATTATTGATAACAATTTCGGCAGTCTCTCTCTCTCTCTCTCTCTCTCATCTGAGAGGGGGAGGGGGAAGAACAAGCTCGGAGGAGAAAAGGAGAAATCGAGGCAATTCCGAAGAGCCATGGGGATAAAGTCAATTGTTGGTACTTTGGCATCAATATACCCTGAAACACATGGAAATCAATGGAATACGGAGCACATACGCGCACTTCACTTGTCTATCAATGTCTGAACGCCATGTGCTGAAGGGTTTTCATTTGATTAAATTGAAGATCTTTTACTCCAAAGAACCACTTCAACGCGAGATCATTCAGGGGTTCGAAACTCTAAATTCAAAGAGATTGAAAATCATGAATTCATCATGCATTCCGTAATTTCCATGATTCCTTTCTTCTTCGCACTCCGTCCAGGTACAGTAGCTCGAGAGTAGCTCGAGAGTAGTAGTAGTACATCACTTTGCATTCAGAAGAAGCATGAGCACAGTACAACTGTATGTATGATAAGCATGAAGATGCGCAAAGTGTCAAGGTAGCTTTCTCACATGAGTCACATCAATCAAATGTACCATCCGCCCGAAGGAGAAATGGGGTAGGAGTAGGAGGGCTTCGTTCTTGATGCGCTGGTTTCTGTGTGGTTGATTCAAAAATTGATTGGCATATAATTAATCAATTCCCCCAGCTTCCTCCTGCACGCTGTCGCCCCGTATCATCAATAGTTTCATTTACCTAGCCAATCGAAACCCTCCTTCCAGCTGCAGAAGTGCAAGCCTGCAAGCAATTCATTACTGCACATATGAGCATGGGTAAAACATGAAGCTATCACGGTCACATCACTTGCTGATATACGTATTCGCTGTTGGTCGGTAGTATCGGGATTTCATCACACCAAGAGAGTCCATACAAGAATGGTTTGCAACGCCTTCATTACTTACAGATCCAGCATCAAGGGGCCTCAATTTGCGAACACACGATGAGTCTTTCTCGTGCGGTCCTCTTTCGCGGTACCTACTTTGTATAACATGACAACATCCATTTTGTGGTGGAGGCGGTTAAGGCTAAAATATAAAGGCCTTTTCAATTGAACAAGGGCGGGGTGCAAATTTTCAATTTTCTTTGCGCGATTTTTGGGCCTGCCGCCCGCTTGGAATAATCCACTTTCATGCTGGTCTACTGTACAGTTTTCAAAAACTTTATAAAATTCGACAGCAATTGGAGGATCAAACGTTTTCGAATGTGTGTGATGTGTATGGAGCTACAAGTTTAAACCGCCAGATTCCGGAAATTTTGGTTAATGTCCTCCTATGTTCCACTACTTTGTACGTCTCTGGCACAGCGATTCGAAATCACGGTAACACAAGCAAAATTCGGCATAAACAATTTCAAGGATGCTGCTTACCACGGTCCGAGGTTCGTTGCCGTGTGCATCTCACGCCGATGCAGGCTATTCTTCCCCAAAATGCTTCCTGGTCTTTGCTGAGAAAGAACACATTCGATCTTTCACCTAGCATTCCTAGGAGCCCTTGTTGTGTGATCTGTGTAGACCATATCAAGTAATGTTATATCCCGTGTAGGATTTGAGACTCCCAAACGGCTGAAGAAACTACAATTCCTGTAGCCAAGTTAGTTTCCAAGAAACTTCGCATTTCAACATGAGTGTCACCAAAGTACCCGAAAGGACTCCAGAGCCTTTGAAGAAGCTTTGAAGCCACGCACCAGTGCTAAATCTCACTTCAACCCCATTGCATGTTGTGTGGTACTGACCGAGTAGCAGGTGTCCTGGACTCCACTCTCTCACATTTCATATATCGCAAGCGAGTAGATTGATTAGATCCAACTAATCTGCAGAATGTACAAGCCCAGCTACTCCCTCATCGGCATGATTCCAAATGCAGTGAGTCAGTGACTGTGTGCTTTTCGCCGAAATTTTGTGTAATATTCAAGGGAAGCTTCAACAAACCAGAAGTCCAGAAAAACGCACGACGATAACATACACACAGTGAACTCTCACTCCAGCCGTCAGCCTATAATTTCATTGGAAAATGCCATCGTGTTGGAACACGGCCGAATGACCTGTGTTCCGTGTCAGCTATCATCAGTCTATGAGTCTCGCCAAATCAAAATACAACTTTGAGTCCTCAGCTGCTACGATTTTAATCACATTGTACCGCCTCAAGCGAGTATCCGAACACGCGAGAATGGGGCGGTGAACTGACACGAGTAGACGCCAATGTTGAGACACTACGAGAACCAATTCAGATATCTTATATGCAGTCGAGCAATAGTAGACGTAGACTAAGAAACAACGGGAACGATCAAGCGGGAGAACTTCATGCAAAAGATGCCGCTTGAATAGTGGGAAGTAATGATAACCGCCTCGTTTCTTCGCGCATTATGCGAAGTGCTTCGAGCAGACCATGAACAATTGAGAGGGAGCGAAACTGAGAAGATAGGTTTAAGACAATTGGATGCGTTTTGTGATGTCTTTGAGTGATATCCATTCTCCAGAATGACTTTGACTTCAGGATGCATGATATTTTGAGAAATCAAGTCTGTTGATCGCAAGTTGAGCTTGAACTTGAGCATTATGGCAAGTGTCATGCTTTCCAACGACCCCGCACTAGGTACCTAGGCTCACTCTGGACGGAAAAACGGACACACCAAAGCCGCCAAAATCAAGACTTTCTTCAAAACACTATTAATTCAAAACTCAATAATAATTTGAAATAATATAGTAAATTAGATATAATAAAATGATATTATAGAATATCAACTTATAAATAATCTGCTTCAAACAAAAATTAAAAATATCGATTATTGATTTAAATAGATAATTTTGGAAATAATACTGTTTTTTCGGTGTGCCGTTTATTTCGTCCAGAGTGAGCTAGGTACTGTACTGTCAATGGAGGGCGTGGAGGGGTAGTCTTATCGACACGTGATCATCTCTTATCTAGTCTACGTCCATGATGATACAATGCCGGTACCGAGAATATTTTTCCACTCGCACAAACGCAGCATTCCATCATCATACATCATCCAACATGCCAGTGAGTGAGCCCTTTCAATGCTTTTTCTATGATGCTAACACTATATCCTCGATGTAGCTCATAATACTGACTGGCTACCCTACCTCCGGTAAAACCTACCGGGCTACTCAACTTCGCGAATACTTCCTCGCAAAAATATCTTCGCTTCCTCCCAGCAGTCCCTCTTCCTCCCTCCGTGTCCACCTAATCTCTGACCACACTCTTGCCATTTCCCGCGAAGTGTATAACCTTGAATCTAAATCTGCTAATGAGCGATCGAATAATGCTAGTGAGAAAGATGCTCGAGCTACAATATATGGTGCGGTGAAGAGGGTGTTAACTAATAAAGATGTGGTAATACTGGATGGAGGAAATTATATCAAAGGGTGGAGATATCAATTATTCTGCGAAGCAAAAGCTATGAGGACTGGATGTTGTGTTGTGCATGTTGGAGTTCCTGCTGATAAAGCTAAGGAGGTTAATGAAGCACGATTGGAACGAAGAAATCTTCCACCTTCGGAACATTCTGCGGAGGAAGCGGAGATCAAGGAAGAGGATAAAGCATATGAAAAGGATAATTGGGACAATCTAGTATTCAGATACGAGGAACCAAATGCGATGGTACGCTGGGACTCTCCGTTATTCACAGTCGTATGGGAAGATGAAAACGTACCAGGAGACGCCATTTGGGATGCTATAATCGGAGATGATTCAGAAGGAAAGAGGAAGATTGTCAGGCCAAACGCAGCGACAGTAGCAAAGGTTCACAGTAGTGAGGGGTTCCTATACGAATTAGATAAGACGACCCAAACGGTTCTCAATCGGATTTTGGAATGGAGTAAAGACCACCCAGGCGAAGGGGGAGGAGAAATCAGTGTTGGTGAGAATTCGAAAGGGGAGGAGGTGGTGGTGGAGTTACCTGGAGATCCCGTGGGACTGCCGGCGTTACAGCGTCTGAGGAGACAGTTTATAAGTTTGCAGAGGACGAATCCGGTGACAGTGGAGAGGATTAAGGAGACCTTTGTGAGATATCTGAATGATAGTTTTGAAGCTTAAGGAATGGGCATTACTTTGGCGTTTGGCTGGCTGGAAACGGATACCCTAGAAATCAAATTAACTCGCAAAAGTTGTCATATATGCGAATATATCTTCGAAAAATCGTCCGATTATTTCCAACTAATACTTCCAAAACAAGTTTGCACACATGATATTGGGGGCTTGGCCAGTGATGTGAGACAAAGTAGTTGGGTGCGTCTCTATTGCCAAGAATCTAAGAATTTATTTTAATCCATGCTGCCGCCTTCTCGCCCCATTCCTCTCCCTCTCCAGTACTTAAAGCCATCGGTGGACTGATGTGATTATGACCTTCAATCTTAACGACCTCAATTTTCTCCTCCCATACTTTCTCTGCTAGCTTCACAAAAGCATCATTAGGTTTTAAAATCTCGTCCACAGGATCATACTCTGAATTCATAACCAACAATTTCGGAATACCCAATTCCTCTCTCGATTTCTTACTCTCTCCTACCGCTTTCAACAATCCATGAGGACATTTCGCAAGAACATCCCCATCACTTCCATAATATTTTTCTAGCATATCTTTACGACCAGCCAACGCCTCTTCAAAACTGAATGGTACTCCTACCTCTACCGCCCCTTTCAATGACACGTTGGCTTTCCCCTGCCATGACTTTCTCTCCTCGAGAAAGCGGGGCTCAAGGAGATATGTAGCGATGTGGAGCCCACCGGCTGAGTTCCCCATTAGATATACTTGTTTTTTATTTCCTTTGCCGTCTAATAGATCGGTTTTGGAAAGCCAATGGAGAACGGCCGACACATCTTCACCTCCACTGGGGTAGACGGCCCCTTCACCACCTGTCTCGCTGTCCACGCGTCGATAATCGGGAATAATAGTTGTGATTCCTTGTTTTGAGAAAAAAGAGCCCAAGTTGTGATAAACGAGTTTATCAAGGATGGGGACCTCGAGAATTTTATCACCGCGAGTGAGTCCACCGCCGTAGAAGTAGATGAGAATAGGAGAAGTGCTAGAGGCGGTGCTGGAAGGATAGAGATCGAGGGTTTGACGGGGGTGAGAACCGTATGTGTGCGTACTGCGGGGAACAGAGAGGATGGAATTGCGGTTCTTTTGGAGATGGGGGGCCAGAATCTTGACGGTGGGAAAAAGAATTTCCATAATGGAGGTGCCGGTTGTGAGGGAGAGGTTCTTGAGTGCTTCCATGGTTGCGGTTGTGGTGTGATGACGGATGTAGGATATATTAATGAACAGTTGGTGCTGTGAAAAGAATTTTGTGTTTTTCAGGATACCAAACAACTTTAAAGCTTGACAAATACTGAGAAAGATGCGTTTGTATGACCAGATGGTTTGAAGTATTCTTTACACACCACTTATATCTTCCAGAGCGGAGTTCCGCCTCATCATTGCTAGGTAAAGCTTTGTCGTCCACATACATAGCTTACCCAATAATACGTATGCATTTACGAGTCCATCCCACGTCCACTATCCGCAGATGGGAATCTCACAAAGCATCGCTCGGTGCTGTTCGGCTTGAAGTAGCGAAAGTGGAATCGGTCAATCTCGGACAATTGGAATATCCCCTGAGAGGCTTGTACCCTTAGAAAATTGGGGATAATCCCCACGAATCTGAGACTGTGGGGGAGGAGCAGCGTCCACATGGAAATAGTGGACGGTGCGGACGCTCCCCTGGAATTTACAGTAGCTCTGCAAATGAAGCTTGTGGACGAGACAGTATATTTTCATGCCATTTCCCATATTTTTTGTTCAAAATCATATCAATTCGTCAGAGCAAAGCTTCACTTTCTTCACATCTTCACGTCTTCTCAAATTCCCACAAAATTAATCACTGAATACCCTTCAAAAATGGCCCCAGTCCCCCATCTCACCACTCCTCCCGGAAAAGCAACGCCCTACGTCCTTCCTTGTTTCACTGGTGAACTATGGACAATCCCAACCTCAAATTCCACCATGAGATTACTCGTTACTGGAAATGAAACCAATAATGCTTTTGCGGTAGTGGGAACAGGCGGAACTAAGGACAAGCCAATTGGATTCCATTATCACAAGGAGGCTCATGATGTGTTTTTGTGCTTGAAGGGTACGCTGAATGTATGGGCAAATGATGAGGCGAGGAGTATGGGTCCAGGTGATTTTGCCAGCGTGCCACCGGTGAGTAGATATTGTGATTGAAGCTCGAGTTTCCCGTCTCTGTGGTGGGGTTTCGGGATATAGTGAGCTTGTAGAGATATAGCTTTGTTGCATTTATCTTCTAAGGCTCAACTTACTATGGACACTCAAACAAGTGCTAGAGTTCAAGCTGAGATGAGACATCTTTGATATGGGACATAATAGTTATATGTTACAAATGCTGATCTCTTCTCCTCTTTAGGGAACTATCCATCAATATCAAGTTGCTTCTTCCCACACCGAGTTCCTGGGCCTAATTATTCCAGGTGGTTGGGAAGAATTCTTCCGCTTCATTGGCGAACCATATTCTGGTCCCCTATTCCCCACAAACGACAACCGCAATCCTTTCGAAGTTTTGATTCCAAAACTTATGGCGGCAACTGAGAAATTCGATATGATTCCAGTGCGTGAGAAGAAGAATTTTGATCCACAGCCATGGAATGGTACCGAAAATAAGCTACCCGGAAAATGCGAAAACGGAGGATACTTCCTCAAGGAGGGAGAAGGAGAAAAGACGGTCATCGGTGGTACAGTAGTGAGACCTATGTGCAGAAGAGAGGAAACAAACAACAGATTCTCCATCTATGACATTTTAGGAAGCTCTATACATGCATCCAAAGCATTCAACAAGGAAGTTCAATTTAAAGACACACACCATGCTATATACACAGTAGATGGTGCGCTCAAGTTGACAATTGGCGGAGAGGAAGTCATAGCACCAGCGGGAGAAACCACATTTGTACCCGCGGGAACAAAGTTCAAGGTTGGCTTTGAAACCGTGTATGCGAGAGCATATGTTTTTGCTAATGGGGGTGGTATCGGAGAGTTATTGAATGGGCTAGGAAGTGTATATGAGAGTGTGGCAGTACCGAATGATGTGGAGGGAAGTTGGGATGAAGGAAAGTTGAAAGAATTGGAAGCAAAGATAGGAGATTTGAGCTTTTAAGGCTTTTTTTATAATATGATAGAGAAATGCAATTATGAAAAAAAAGGCGTATATTGTGTACAAACAATAGAGGTAGATGATATGTATGGATCGTTGATATATATTTGCAATGAGGTGAAAAGTGATCTGGAGCAGGCAAATATCACCAACAGCTGGCTCTTGATAAGCTGGGTGGAAAAGACTGTCTCAGGTGAGCCATTATTTAAGTTCTTGTTAATGGTAAAGGATCATATAGAACTTGGATTGCTCTATAGAAACAAATTTTATGTTTTATTGAAACCTACTCTCACTCTGGACGAAATAAACGGTATATCGAAAATATAATATTATTTTCAAAATTTTGTTTTTAAATTAATAATTAATATTTTCAATTTTGAATTAAATTCAATTATTTTAAATCTAATAATTTATAATATGTTTTTATTTAGTTTATTTTATTTTATTATTCAAAATTATTATTGAATTTTAAAATAATAGTGTTTTGAAGGAAGTCTCGATTTTGGCGGGTTTGATATGCCCGTTTTTCTGTTCAAAGTGAGCTGGTTACTATCATGGTGCTTCACTTTCGTAAGACCGTATATTAAAAACTAGTCCGAATGAAGACTAGTGTCGCAGTTGTATTGTGCATTCAATCTGGAGCATTTCATCGTTGGGAATGCGTCGAAACTTTTCCACAAACCAAATAATTGTATTTTTACTTAAGAATAACCTGATGGTCTCTTTGAATCTCAGTATTAACAGTCACTATCTCAAAATCATGTCTGACTCAAAACGTCCCTTGCTCAAAGGCCCACCACGTCCACCCCGATCAAATCCATTGGCGTTATCCTACACCGAGCCTCCTAGACTCAAGAACGAGGTAACACGTACAAAGAATGATAGCATTAGAGGTAGTTTCTCCTAACTCTTTACCATGATCTTATACTCATGACTTACTTGTGTTTCACAGTTGTGGAATTCAACGGATCCGCAATTCCTCAGCCATTTCTCGATCCATCCATTATGCAGAAAAAAGCGCAGTTGGAACGAGAGCGGAAGTTAGAGCAGGAGAAAAGCACACGACAGCAGCTCGAAAGAAATCAGACTGAGGGCTCTTCTAGATCCTAATTGAAGGAGATGTGTTCAATGGCGTGCATTGGTATCACGTGAATTTTATTTCGATATGTGTTTGTTTTGGGATAATTTTTGGAGTACTACAATTCTCGATGACGGATTGATATCGGATGCTCGACTACATGTCGTGTGCAAAGCTGTACTTCACAAAATTACACGACGTTCTACATGCGTAGACCATCATGTGAATAGCAACTGTAGGTATGAGTTACAGTGCCTTTTTCAAGGTCCGAAGTCGGTCGAAGGATCGGATGATGAAGTTCGCGATTCTTGAAGATATTCGGATACTTACATGTTGCGATAGATCTTATCTCTTGTCCCTTATGACCTGAAGATCTAGCCATGAGTTCGCTCTACTTTAGGTCGATTCCTTGGTTTTATGTCAGAGATGTAATACTATTCGGCGACGTGAGAGCCCTTGTCACGGTTAATGACATACTTTGGATCTGGTGTGCATGAAGATGGATCATCAGAGCCGCCTCTTACTGCACCCCGCTTTTTTGATATCTCATGGACTGATTGACCCTGAAAGCTTAAATTCTTCATCATTGTGGCTGGCTGCCACATTTCAAGGGAATTTATCCACGAACTCTGATCTGAAGCATGGCACATTACAAGCCTCGGCAAGAAGTTTCTGGAACTCGATGTAAATGTTTTGGTTGGGCATCTTCAAATTCGGGCGTAATCGGCATTGGCTGCTTATAAGCACTAATTAATTCGCGTCGACGGGAAGACCAATAAGTGTACGATGCGCAAACCGATGTGTATCACCAGGTTATTCTCCGACGTGGTCATATCTTTAAGAAATTGTCAAAATGGATCAAATAGGCCCGAGTCGTTCAGGTAAGGACTTCACACAATCTTCTTCAAAACTGTCCTCGTGGAACGAACTACCTGCCTCTTGATTACGATACCTTTAATGTCGATTCACATAACACGACCTATTAAAAAGAGCTAATGAGTCGTATATTACACGTGAGTAAAGATAGCGGAAATCATGATTTTGTATGGAACAACACAGAGCAAGGTCTTCTCATCTCTATTGACAACCAGGAAACGCAAACGTTCCGAATATCTGCAATCTTCGTTCGACAGATATATTAGCTGCAGCATGTTGTGTCAACACAGGTGATGTGCCGACATCATTCGGGACAAACATCCAAGGCTGCTTTTAGGATTCCTCATTTGCTCATTTGGCCCAGCATTCAAGAAGTACTCTTCTTATCGGTGTTATTTCAGTTATTCTGAAACCTTCGAGCTTTAGAACCAAATCGAAATCATTTCCTATTGAATATTAGGCTCAAGGTATCATTTTGATGCCTTTTGGCGGGATTTTAAAAGTCAAGACTTAGCCAAACCTAATTTCAAGAACATCAAAATTTATCTCTAAACTTCGCAGTTTCTTTGAGCTTTTCATCGACTAAAAGCGGCAGTCCCGTAAATTCACCCCTACTTTGTATCTTACACTAATAATACTTGTCTGGATTTCACTTCCACTACAACCTTGCAGACAAAGTCAACGTTGAAATTCCACATAGATGTTTCTCTCTACTGGCTGTGGGGCCCGAAAAATACTACCTAGCTTGGGCCTGTCAAAAGTGCATTTTCCGAAAAGCTGGCTTTGTGCGATCACCCGATACATGTCATGCAGCTTGGCTCATAAGATTTCTATCCATTGCCATGTTTACATACACTATTCCCAATGGATTTTTCACGAAGACGGACGTGTCTGTTTACAGCCACAGTTCTTGTCCTGCCTTTTCATTTTATGCAAGGTTTCAGATAGTACAGTCGTACTAGCCCATGTTGTTTGCTCCTTCTTTGCGGGAAAATAAGTATTCGGAAGCACCTCCCAACATTAGATGGCTGAATGCTTCTTTCAAAACACTGAAGTATCTTTGTGCGTTTTCATTTGCAAGTTTTCTTTCAGTGTCTTCTGGAATACATATACATTGACTTTCCCACTACATCAGGATACATTCTAGACATTTTCTAGAAAACGTCTAGAAGCTCAGCCAAAATGGTATCGTCTTTTAGAACTCTCATCGTTGTGGCATGTCTGCTAATGACTGAAGCTACACCCTTGTGAGAACTATCTCACATTAAGCTTGATATCGGTGTTCACTAACACGTATATAGACTTAAGAAGAAGGGGCTGAGCTTCGATTACAATGGCAGTAAGGTTCGCGGCGTCAACCTAGGAGGATGGTTCGTGCTGGAGCCCTGGATTACTCCGTCGTTATTCTATGGATCTTGGGTAGATGAGTACGTTTCTCACAACAATAATCACCAGTATAGATTGACTGACACCGCACCCATGCTAGGTACACTCTGACTCAAACACTTGGGAAATCTGCTTCACAAAATCTATTAAACGCACATTGGGCAACTTGGATTACGCAGAATGATTTCAATGAGATTGCAAGTGTAGGCTTGAATCATGTCCGTATACCAATTGGATATTGGGCTTTGAATCCATTGCCTGGGGATCCTTATGTCCAGGGACAGTTGACTCACTTGGACAAAGCTATTGGCTGGGCGAGACAGGCAGGGTTGAAAGTGATTCTGGATGTTCACGGGGGTGAGGCATATTGCATATTTGAATGAAGATCTCCGCTAACTTTTTCGCAGCGCCAGGAAGTCAAAATGGGTTCGTTAATCGATATAACATGAATAGTGGTAGGATGAAAAAGCTAATGAGATTTACAGGTTCGATAACTCGGGACGGAAAGGACCTGTTACTTGGACTCAAGGAGATTCTACCAAGCAAACATTGGCTGCCATCCAAACGCTGGCCTACCGCTATGCTCCAGCCACAGACGTTGTGACTGGGATCGAGCTTCTCAATGAACCAGCGAACTGGGCTCTTGACATGGGAGCAGTTAAGCAGTTTTACTATGATGGTTGGGGAAATGTGAGAAACGCGAATCCTGATACCGCGGTTGTCATTCATGATGCTTTTCTTTCTCCGCCTTCATGGAATGGTTTCATGAACTACCAATCTGGAGTCAATGATATTATTCTCGATACCCATATCTATCAAATCTTTTCCTTTGCAGAGGTCGCCATGAAGCCCTGTCAACATATTCAGGTTGCTTGTAGTCAAGTCGGAAACTTGGCGAATACAGACAAGTGGACAATTGTTGGCGAATTCAGTGGAGCACAAACAGACTGTGCAAAATGGTTGAATGGCTTTGGTGTCGGTTCTCGATACGATGGATCATATCCCGGGAGTCCTGCATGGTATGGATCTTGCCAGTCGAAAGATGTTGGGACAGTTGACGGGCTACTTGAAGTCGACAAAGTGAATCTGGCATATTTCATGGAAGCACAACTTGATGCATATGAAGCTCACTCAGGCTGGGTTTTTTGGACATGGAAGACAGAATCTGCTCCCGAGTGGCACTTCCAAAACCTGACAAGAGCGGGATTGATCCCACAGCCTTTGACGAGTAGAAAATATGGGAAGCAATGCGCAACTTCAGCCTGTTTGATTCCAGGCAATTGAAGATTTTCTACACTGCTTCACAAGAAAACATGAAATTTCTTTTGGGGGTGGTTCAAGAGAGCGGATACGGGGCCCAATGACGTTCATACATGCAATTATTTGGAGGATGGTATTTTGGCGAAATTTACGATGCAATAACGATACCCCTTCATTCGCTCGGGGAGTTAGGGGCAAGATAGGTTCTAGTTATCGGGGAGAAGCGAAGATCTAGAGTGCAAGAGGTGCCAAGAGAGGGGTAATTTATTGGTGTAACACCTGATGATAGCCCCGAGCGTCCTTTTCCTGGTTGTTAAGAATAGCACGTGAGGCACGAAACAGATGAGAAATAATCAATAGATAAATGATAAGATGGATTGCTTCATATGGTGCGAGTGCTTTCTTTCCGACAAGCTCAGTTCCGTATGCATAATTGAATCGTCAAAGAAGTCGATAAAGTACCGGAAGAGTTTCCGGAAAGTGGATGGATGAGAATTCCTTGGGAGCCGGCAAGGTCACAATCCTCTGCCAAAGACTCGGTCTTAGCGTTTCTCTATTTCCCTTATGTCCTTCTGTCCTTCTGTCCATTGTCCTTATTTTCTCATTATTGTCATGGATTGTACCCACCTACCTAGTTCCATATGGTGTTTGCTTCGATACTTCTAGTCTCTCATTGGCTTCGACATTTCTTACCAACATTGCCGTAAGCATTTCCCGGGTGTCTACAAGCCGCTTCTCCATTCCGTGGGCTGACTAAATTTACGGCTCCCCCATACTTTTGAGCGGGGTTGGTTACAAGTTACAACATTCGAAGGTTCCGACCGTTAGACTGTAACCCAACAATCAATTCGCCCCCACTTCCCCACTATTATCCAATTGTTCCGCTGTTCCTTGCTTGCCCAGCTGCCTACATGAGCTACACTCCTACAATCATAGAATCAACAACTTGGAAGCAAGACCCCACAATCTACAGACTTGATCCCAGAGTTACTAAAAGTACGAGCTGTTTCTTAAAGTGGCTTAGGTAATACAAGATTTTCATCCATCAAACCTTCTACTGAAGACTACAAAAACACAATATATTTCCTTTATTTACTATTTTGGTTCTATCATACCATACACTTCTTGCGATATACAAGTCTCATTATTACATTCACAAAAATATGTCTCCTTCCGCCACTGAAGCCACTGGCACCACAGCCAAGACATCATCCAAAATCAACGATGCAGTTTCATCCTCAACTTCAATTCACACAATACCCCTCATTATCAACAACGAACCTCACCAATCTAGCAGAACTTTTCCCGTCTATTCACCATCAGATAATTCACATCTTCACGATTGTGTATCTGCATCTGCATCTGATATTGAACTCGCTTTGGATACAGCTCAAAAGGCCTACCCAGCATGGAGCAGATTACCGCCACCGCAAAAACGCGATATCTTTCTTCGAGCAGCCGAGATAATGCTCGAACAAAAGTCTACTCTTGAAGAAACCATGATTAAAGAAACCGGCTCGGACCCCGTTTGGGCCGGATTTAATACTCATCTTGCTCGAGAAGGTCTTCTCGACGTTGCCGGCCGTATAAGTTCCATCGCCGGTAGCATCCCGATGACGTCAGAGGAAGGTCGAAGCGCACTTGTCTATAAAGAACCTTATGGAGTTATCCTCGGGGCTGCACCCTGGAATGCCCCCTATATTCTCGGTTTCCGAAGCATCACCTATGCACTCGCAGCTGGCAATTGTGCAATTCTCAAAGCACCAGAGTTTTCACCAATGTGCAGTTGGCATATTTGTGACATCTTACACAAAGCTGGGTTACCCAAAGGTGTATTAACATACATAGCAGTTTCAAGTGAAGATGCTCCGGCGAGAACGGCACAAATAATTGAGAGCCCGATCATTAAGAAGATTAACTTTACGGGTAGTACCCGGGTAGGAAAGGTCTATGGAGAATTGGCGGGAAAGAATCTTAAACCTGTGGTACTGGAGTTGGGTGGAAAGGCTAGTGTGATTGTGTGGGAAGATGCGGATTTGAAATTAGCAGCTGTGGAGTGTGCAAAAGGGGCTTTCTTACACTCGGGTCAAATCTGTATGAGTACAGAAAGAATTCTTGTCCACAAGAATGTTGCTGCAGAATTGTAAGTTTTCCATTCTTCATTTCCTTTTTTATTTGCCTCGTCATTCTTGTCCTGCTCAACAAGCAGAAGACAACGAAAGTGCGAAATAAAACTAACAAACCATGTAGCGAAAAGGAGTTAGCAGCCGCTACTGCAGAGATGTTTTCTTCATCAACAACCCTCATCAACTCTCAAGGCGTCTCTAAAAACGCATCTTTAATCTCCGATTCCCTCTCCAAAGGCGGCTCTATTCTCCACGGCACGCCGCCCGCTGATTCCTCCCCCACCAACAAAATGTTCCCCGTAATCCTCAAATCCGTCAACCCCTCCATGTCCATCTACCGCGAAGAATCTTTCGGGCCAACCGTCTCCGTGATCGAAATTTCCACTGAAGAAGAAGCGATCCGTATCTCCAACGATACCGACTACGGACTCGCAGCAGGTATCTATACTCGGGATTTACAGCGGGGATTGCGCATTGCGAAAGCAGTAGAAAGTGGTGCCGTGCATATTAATGGGCATAATGGGAGTATACATGACGAGGCGGGACTTCCGCATGGAGGCATGAAGAACAGTGGGTTTGGACGATTTGGATCGCTTGGCTTGGAGGAATGGGTTAGGACAAAGACGGTGACGTTTATGGATTAAGCATTAAGGATGGGAGATATGATAATGGATTTAGAACTTGAATAAGTGAGACACGGATTTTATGTAAGCCAAGATGAATAAACTTAACTACATTAACCCTATTGATTGTATAAGACAGTTGTTCTTTTAGTGTACTTTCTGGATTGAAATTGAATGAGATTTATACTTATACATTAAAAATAGGATTATATTCATTCGAGAAGTATTTGAATACAAATCATTACTGGTTATATGCTTGATAGTATAAAGCAAACAGAGCAGAGAGTAAAAAACAAAGCTAGACAAACAATATTCGGTAAAAAGACAGAGTCAAAGTTCTTTTAGAATCTATCATACAACTAGGGTTAGACGTTTTAATAATATATAATATCGCATATTAGTTGCTTAAATATAGTATATAATATTGATCAAATATTATTATATATATAGTGAATATAACCGATTCTAAAAGCATATGAAAGGGGTTTTTGAAGCTATTTTGAAAATCAAATTAGAAAAAATTATTATTATAGAAATCATATAATTAGTATATAATAAATATATAACTTTTAGACTATATTATATACTAAATCAAAAATCAGATCTCCTCAAAAACTTTTTTTTAAAATGATTCGTTTTTATTCATCCTGATAATTTCATTAGCTTAAAAAACACATATATAACCTTGATATAATATTTTATATACTTCAAAAAGTATAATAATATAGATTTATATAATTCGCTCAACCCTACGTACAACTCCCTGTTTTCACCATTAAGCAAACATTAGAATATCCGTCATTAATTCATTATTCCATGCCCACCCCAATATTCTCATCCAAACCCCCTTCTCTACGAGCCCACAAGCTCCCTTCCAGAAAACCCAGCTCCCTCTATTCCTCTGACCCCTTCATCGCCTTCTCAACTCCACCCCCCTATCTCCTCCGGATCACTTATTCTTCCAACCCAACCTCCAGACACAACTCATCGTACTTCTGTAACCATCCTACTCTCTCATCACACATCACTGAACCATCCACATCCACTTATATAAAATTCCATCTGCGATATATAGTAGATAAATGTTCAAGCTCATTAACAATAACAAGCATGATCGACATAATCGATAAGATGGGGAATGAGTAGAGATTCTACCTCGGCTGTTTGATGGTTGTGGGGAGGGCTTACACCCGATTTAATAACGTGTGTCCAGGAAAAAAAGCACTTTTTCGAACATCACCTAATCGAATTTTTGAAATTGGAAAATCCAATTTAATCAATATAACTCCAAATTGAAGAAACTCTATATCATAATATAGATCTCAATTGATAAAATCAAGAAACAAAATATAAATCATTTCAATTGAAAATTCGTTGAATTGGAGGTGGTTGAATAAAAATCCAATTTCGAAAGTTCAAAAATCTAAAAACTACATCAAAAATCATAATTTCATTCAACCACCTCCAATTCAATGAATTTCCAATTGAAATGATTCATATTTTGTTTCTTGATTTTATCAATTGAGATCTATATTATGATATAGAGTTTCTTCAATTTGGAGCTATATTGATCGAATTGAAAGCAATTGAATTATTTTAATATAGAATTCAGCAAAAAGTTAATGAGATCAAAAAAGTCACGTTTTGGACATACGTTATTAAATCGGGTGTAGTTCTTTATCTAGGATAGTGTAGGCATTAGTATTTCTCGTAATCAATTCGGGTCAGTTTACTAATCGGGGGTTACGATCCTCTTCACCCCCTATTGTACCAATGAGGGGGCCTCAGCAATTCGTCAATTTTTCAGCAATTCGTCACTTTTTTTATCGAATCTCACGATATAGATAATCATGAGGAAAAAATATTATTACTAATCAAAAATTACAGAAATAGCCCAGAATTTCATTGTTTTTCACTATTGTTTCTCATTTCCTGTATATACATCTCAAAGAAATTCTTATTATAAGTATTAAAGGAAAGGAATAGAATATAGCGGTTTCAATAATATAATTCGTTACAGGATATATAGTAATTGTATATAGTTATAGTGTTTTCAAGGATAGAGGTAGTGTTTTGATGAAGTGCCGATGAGGTGATTTACGATTTTTATATTACTTTGGAATGTACGATACTCTTGGAATTTTGTAGGAATATAGAAGAATATACATTGAATTGCATACAATTTACTAGGTATAGTATGTACCTTTTTCTATAAATCTACAGATGATTGTTTTAAAGTATACTAAAAAAAGTGATGAATTGCTGAAAAATTGAC